GTGTGTGTGTGTGTGTGTGTGTGTGTGTGTGTGTGTGTGTGTTTCTAGACAGGATTTCTCTGTTATTTCCATGATCTTCCTTTACCTTTCTTTTTCCAGGCATGGGCTGGTCCCAACCCCACAGACCCCCCCCTGCCTCTGCCTCCCAAGTGCTTAAAGGCGTGCTCCACCAATGCCCCAATTCCTTCTCTTTTTAAAAGATGTTTTCAATTATGTGAGAGTGTCTTCATGAGTTTACACACACCACATGCATGCAGGCGCTGGTGAGGCTAGAGGGTGTCAGATCACCTGGAACTGCAGTTAGAGCTGATTGTGAGCCACCTGTTGTGGCTTCTGGGATTGGAACCCAGGGTTCTCTACGAAAGCAGCATCTTAGTTACTGTTCTGTTGCTGTGAAGAGTCACCATATAATCAAGGCAACTCATAAAAGAAAGCATTTAATTGGGGGCTTGCTTAGAATTTCAGAGGATGAGTCCATGACAGTCGTGGCAGGGAGCAAAGCAGCAAGCAGGCATGAATGCATGGTGCTGGAGCAGTGGCCGAGAGCTTGTTTCTTATCTGCAAATTAAAGGCAGAAAGAGAACAAACTGGAATGACATGGGCTTTTGAAACCTCAAAGTCCACCCCTAGTGACATGCCTCGTCCAACAAGATCACACCTTCTAATCCTCACCAAATAGTTCCAACAATTGGGGACCAAGCACTCAAATATATGAGCCTGGCCAAGGCATAGTGGCACACATCTTTAATCCCAGCACTCAGGAGGCAAAGGCAAGAGGATCTCTGTGAGTTCAAGGTCAGCCTGGTTTATATAACAAGCTCCAAGACAACCAAAACTACATAGAGAGACCCTGTCTCAAAACAAAACAACAACGATGACAAAAAAGTCAAACATATGAGCCAGTGGGGCCATTCTCATTCAAATCATTACACAAAGTGTGCTCTCTTAACCACTGAACTGTCAAGTTTGTGCCCCACACATCCTGTCTTATGTTTGGGGTGTCTTTGTTTTTCTTGTTGTTGTTTGAGACAGGGTCTTAAGTCTGTAGCCTAGCCCAGGCTGGCCTTGAACTCACAATGGATCTCCTCTTCCAGCCTCCCTGAGTGTTAGGATTATAGGTATGAGCCACCATGCTCAGAAGCCTGTACTACTGCTATAGTTTTCTCTGCATAGAACTGGCAACTGAGGCCCAACAATGAGATCTGATTAGGATCATGGGAGCAGGAACCAGCCCTCTGGCCTGGTTCCTCAGAGAGAGTCTCTGGGAAGTTGGCATTCATATTCATGGATTGGACTCCAAAGTCTCCCCAGGTTCCCAATCCAGAGTATCTTCTCTCTGTCCTTTGGAACAGTCCAAACAGTCCTGGCTTTGAGTCCTAGGCCCATGTGTCTGTCACTACCCTGTTGGCTGGACTTGCCCAGGCATAACCAGCAGCTGCAACAGCTCCTTTCATTCCCAGAAATGCCCCTTTGGCTCAGTAGCATGCATGAGACTATCTGTGGCCTGAAGCATCTCCTCCAAACCCGTGTCCAACTGTAACAAAAGGGTCTTAGTACCCTGCTCCTGGACAGGACTGCTGTGAAGACAACAAGGCAATGCATATACAGGCTGACTAGCAGGGGCTGGCATAGACTAAGCTCTCCTTAAATAGCAAAGATTGTCACTGGAATAACTCATCTGTAAGGGTGGAGTGGCTGGAGGAACCGGGAATGACAGGAACTGGTGCACACTGTCTTTCTTCTAGTGAGAAGACAGGGATTGTGACTACTCCCTGGTGCCTTCTCTCCTCACCACAACCTATGACAAGGACACACTAATATGTATAATCCAAGGGGAAACTGAGACTCCCAGACAGAGGTTGAGTGATTTGTCAAGGTCATTTCCCATCAGATGAAGGAGTCAGACTCAGATCCACTCAGTGTCTCCAATGCCTGGAAAGGGGAAGCAAACCTGAGGGAGCTGGGAGCCCAGCTGGTATGGCCAAGGGCAAGCGAGGGGAAAGGCAGCCAGCCAAGCCAGACCTTGTGGTCACGGGCTTTGCCTGTGTTACCATCCTCCTACCCCCAGTCTCCTTCTTTCTCTGGCCTGGTTCCTCAGTGGTAGTCAGGGCAGCTGGTATTCATGCCCTCCATGCTTCTTGCCAGCTGGTGTCTGAACTCATGAATCTTTGCTCCCTTCCTGGAGACAAGCCAGGGAGGGTGCAGAAAGAGACTGGACACAGGCTACAAGGAAATAGCATCCCCAACTAGTTGATGCTCCTCCCCACATTTCCAATACCCTAGGCTCCACCATGGACAAACAGCCCTGGATCCTGGAAGTCAGGAAGGCTGGACTCAAGCCCCACCCTAAGGCAGCTAACTCTAAGGGTCTGCTGCCTCTCCCTAGGTGAGTCCTGAGAACCATCACTGTGATGAGCAACACAAACACACTGGGAAACTGAGGTCCCAAGGTGTGTAGAACTTGCTCAAACCCACACAGCTTTGCAGAGTCAGAAACATGTGGCTGTTTCTACTCAGTTGTAATGTGGTAGATGTATCACCTTTGAAAACAGAAGTGATAGATAATGTGTACCTCCCTTGGCCAGGCGTTGGTGGCACACGCCTTTAATCCCAGCACTCGGGAGGCAGAGGCAGGTGGATCTCTGAGTTCAAGGCCAGCCTGGTCTCCAGAGCGAGTGCCAGGATAGGCTCCAAAGCTACACAGAGAAATCCTGTCTTGGAAAAAAAAAAAAAGTGTACCTCCCTTTATGGGATGGTACACTGCCCAAGGAGGTAGCACAGGTAGAAAGAATATGAGATAAAAAATAACAGATGTGCCTTCCTGTTCTTTCTCTGCTTCATCCTGGCAGGAGCAGTATAAGGTACTTCCTCAAGACTGAATCCTTAGTTCCCAGACCAGTGGCTCTCAACCTACCTAGTGCTGTGACCCTTTATGTTACCACCTCATGTTGTGGTGACCCCAATCATGAAACCATTTCATTGCTACTTCAGAACTGTAATTTTGCTACTGTTATGAATCATAATGTAAGTATCTGATATGTAGGAAAGGTTGAGAACCATTGTGCTAGACCATCTTCATGAACTTGACTATAAAGTGTTTGGCAAGAAGAGAGACTAGAGACTAGTTATTTTGGTTATAAAGCAATAACCAAAGGAGAGAGAAGGGAAGACAGACAAACACAGGTAATTTAGGGTCAGTCTTTTACCTCATACTTGCACACCATAAAGAGTTACTCTCACACATTTACTGAGGCCCTCCCTGCACTAGTGCAAACATACACACACCCCTGCAGAGCCTGTCCCTGGGAGTTCATATTTTACCAAAGTTTTCATCTTTCCTTCTGCACAACTTCCCATTGCTTGTAGTTACATCCCATCAATCACAGATCCAGTTTTACATCCAAAATGTCTCTGAATTCCTCAGGGCTCTGTTCTCTCTACCAACCTGCTCTGTGAACTCTCTCATCTTTACCCTTTATCCAGTTCACTGGCCACATGACCCCAGAGAACTTCTCTATTCCTGGGTCTGGTCCTAGCCATCTTAGAACCCTTCCATGCTTGAAGAAATTCTAATGAGGGGATGGAGAGATGGCTCTTGTTCTTCCAGAGGATCCAAGCTCAACTCTGAGTACCCAAACAGTGGCTCATAACCATCCTTAACTCTGGTTCCAGGGATCTAATGCCCTCTCCTCATCTGAATGCACCAGAGACACCAGTGGTACTTATGCATGCATGCAGGAAAAACACTCATACACACAAAATAAATCTTTCAGAATTAAAAAAAGTTCAGATGAGAATTCTGGCTTTCACGCTTCCTCAGGTCTGACTTTGAGGTCTTTGAGGGTTAACTCTTGCCTACAAAGATATCCTGCATATCTGATATTTGCATTACAATTCATAACAGTAGCAAAATTACAGTTAGGAAGTAGTAACAAAAATAATTTTATGGTTTGGGGTCACCACAACGTGAGGAGTTCATATTAAAGGGTTGCAGCATTAGGAAGGTTGAGAACCACTGGATTATAGGCATTCACCACCATGCCCGGCAAAATTCCTTTAAGGTCCAGCTCTCAACTTATTACTTCCTAAATTCAGCCCAAGAACTTTGGTTTCCACCCAAACTTCAGCTCGTGCCCACTCTACTCTGCCCTGACTCCACAGAATGCAGACTTACCCTCCAGCCAACTCAACACCACCCGAAGGCTTTTCCCATACTTACAGCCCATCTTGCCCTGCCCTGCTCACAGCCCTCCAAGAAATGGTCCCACTACTCAACCCTTCTCATCTTCTAACATTCCATGTAGAAAGTCCCCTGAACCAACTTCACTTTCTACCCAGGAGACACACATGGATTCCTTCTATTCTTGACATGGGGCTTGCCACACTGCAGTGTGACAGGGTCTTCCGTCTTTCACAGATTTTTGCTAATAGGAACCTCTGCTCTCAAGGCTGGATCCAGCATGAGACAGACTACAAAAGGTGAAGAACTATATGGCTGGAGTCCAAGTCGAGGCTCTGCCGCTCACTATCTGAAAAACCCATCCAGGCACTTATCAGAAAAGTGCCTCTGTCATAGTGTGACTATAGAATGACATCACAGAAGGCAGGTGCACAGGCGTGGGGGCAGCAAATTCTAAAGCAAATCCCCAGCACTCAGGAGGCAAAGGCAGAGGCAGGCAGATCTCTGTGAATTTGAGGCCACAGAAGAAGAAGAAGAAGAAGAAGAAGAAGAAGAAGAAGAAGAAGAATTGGGAAGGAGAGAGCTGGAAAATGGCTTGTTATCTAAGAGTGCTTGCTACTCTTGCAGAGAACCTGAGTTTCCCGAACCTAGCTCACAACTATAACTCCAGCTCCAGAGGATCCAATACCTGCTTCTCGCTTCCACAGGCAATCAGGCGCACGCACACATGCATACAGCATAGACATGGCCAAATATTCGTAATTTAAAATCTTTTCAAAATGAGTTGGAGCCAGGTGGTGGTGGCAGCGCATGCATCTAGGAGGCAGAGGCAGTCGGATCTTTATGAGACCAGCCTTGGTCTACAAGAGCTAGTTCTACAAGAGCTAGTTCTGTAGAGAAACCTTGTCTCAAAAAACAACAAGAAAAGAAAAGGAAGGAAGGAAGGAAGGAAGGAAGGAAGGAAGGAAGGAAGGAAGGAAGGAAGGAAGGAATTGGAAGCTGAAAATGGCTCAACTGGGGGCTGGAGAGATGGCTCGGAGGTTAAGAGCACTGGATGCTCTTCCAGAGGTCCTGAGGTTCAGTTCCCAGCAACCACATGGTGGCTCACAACCATCTGTAATGAGATCTGGTTCCCTCTTCTATCTTGCAGGCATACATGCAGGAAGAACACTGTATACATAATAAGTAAATAAATCCTTTTAAAAAATGGCTCAGCTGTTTGAGTACTAGCTACTTCTTCCAGAGATCCCAGGTTCAAGTCTCAACACACAGAGTGGTTTACAAGCCATCTGTAACTCCAGTTCCCCCGTGGACACTGCATGCATGTAGTTCACAGACATACATACAGACAAAATACCCATACATGTTAAACAAATGAATTCAGAAAGTAAAAACTGAGCTGGTCAGTGGTAGCACACACCTTTAATCCTAGCACTCGGGAATCAGAGGCAGGTGGATCCCTGAGTTTGAGGCTAGCCTGGTCTGAGAGAGTTCTAGAACAGCCAAGGACTATGCAGAGAAACCCTGTCTCAAAACACCAATCACAATAATAATAAATTGGGGGCTGAACACAGAGCTCAGTGGTAGAGTGCTTGCCTTGCAAGAAAGGACACTGGTGTCAGCCTGCAACACTGGGTGGGAGGGAGAGGAGGGAGACAGGACAGCTAGGAGAGGGGACGCCTCTTATTGGGTCTTGTGCCCTGAACAAGGGTGGTGGCAGGAGAGTATGGAGCAGAGCAAGGATGAGTGGACAAAGATTAAGTTAGCTAAGGCAAGAGTGCGTCCTGGGAAGCCTTGAGGGACTGTGGGCAGGAAGGCAGAGGGGAGACTGGGACGAGGGTAGGGGAAGGTGAGGCCAGAGCCCGGATGGAGGAAAGGTGATGTGGAGCAGAGATGGGGCTCTGAGGCTGTATCAGGAAGGGCAGCTGCAGAATGCCTGGTCCCCAGGGTGCCCACCCAAGGGGAGGGGCCTCTTGAAGGAGTGACTGAGTTCCACCTTGTCCATTGTGGTTCACAGGTCTTTTCCCTGGTCATCTTTTCCTCTCTCCTAACTGATGGTTACCAGAACAGGACAGAGTCTCCTCAGCTCCACTGCGTCCTCAACAGCAATTATGTGGCCTGTAGCTTCGCAGTTGGAGCTGGCTTCCTGTCCTTCCTCAGCTGCTTGGTCTTCCTTGCCCTAGACGCCCGTGAGAGCCGTATCACAGGCACCCGCTTTAAGACAGCCTTCCAGCTCTTGGACTTCATCCTAGCTGGTGAGTCCCAAGGGACCCTGCACAACTCCCCTTCTATTCAGCTCTCCCAGGTTCCCCAGCGCCTAAGGTCACAGTCCTAGCCCAGACCAGCGCCTGATGGCCCTCACACTGTGAGGGCCTGACTCCAGATCCTCCCAGAAGCATCTTCTAGTCCTTCCTCTCATCCCACTGCCTCCAACCCAAGCTGCTTTCCCCTCATAGACCACCCCCTGGCCCACTAAACATAGCCTGAAAAGCCCACCCTGTGACGGGAATGTGATTCAGAGCACTGAGCCAGGTGGGCCTCAGTGGAGGTAGGATGGAGACTGCCTTGCAGGGATCTCTGAGTGTGAAATGAGTTAAGGGGTGCCTATAGTCATGTGGACATCTGCTGAGCACCTTACAGTGTTAGGCACACCATGAAGGTACGGGCTTCCTCTCCTCCAGTTCTAAGAACAACCCTCGGGGTAAGTCTTGCTCATCTTCTCATCTTACAAGAAAGGCTGAGGCTGAGGTAGTCACGTGAGTGAGCCGCTGCTGCCCAGGGAACAGCAAGCCCTATGCTTCAAAGCACGGCATGGCCTCCATGACCATTCCATGGTATCTGTAGGGCTCAGCACACAGATAGCACCCAGCCACTCTATACTAGGCCCTCCCTTCCCCTCTTCAGGAGTCATTCCCAGCACCTCAGGGCCAGAGACGGCTTCTCTGCAGTGAGAAGGGGCTGTCCTCTGTATGACAGACCCTTCACTTAACAGCCCCTGAGCACATGAGATGGGGCTGGCCCACAGGAAACTGAGTTCCTTTGAGATTCTGATGAAGTTACATCATGTAGCTCCGGCTCTGTTAGACATGGGAGCTCTATTCTAGAAGTTGACTTTTGGGGACACTTGAGGGATTTGGATTAGCATAGCGGGGGACGGTGACACAGGACTCCCTGCTCCTCCCTAGTACACTGTGCCTGTGCCCCAGCATGCTTCTCCACCTCTCTTTTTCCTTTGCCTTGCCCCTCCAGTCCTCTGGGCAGGTGTCTGGTTTGTGGCCTTCTGCTTCCTAGCCCGCCAGTGGCAGCATTCGAAGTTCAAGCATTTCCTCTTGGGGAACAGCAGCGCCAAGGCAGCCATTGCCTTTGCTTTCTTCTCCGTCCCTGTCTGGGTGAGGACAAGTCCTGGCACCCCTCCAGGGTGGGCTGGGAGGGCTGTACATCTGGTCCTGGACCTCTGCTGTCATCCTCTGAGCCTACCTTCCTCAGGCATCCCCATCCTGGGCACTGTTGGGCGGTGAGCAGACAGATGTTCACTGCATCCCCCAGGCCAGTCCCTGGGTCTCCCTGTCTTCCTATCCCATCACAGCTAACTTAGACCCTGCCCTCCCTGCCCACAGATATTCCAGGCCTACCTGGCCTTCCAGGACCTCCGAGATGAGGCTCCAGTCCCTTACAAGCGCTCCCTGGATGAAGGTGGTGTGGTGCTGAACACTCTCTCCCCATCATCCACCACCAGCCCTGCCAATCCTCCTACCACAGGCCCCAACAGTGTGAGTTACACCAGCTCAGCCCTGTCCCCCTATCTGACTGCTTCAAAGGCCCCCCGCCTGGCCATGATGCCAGACAGCTAAACAGCCTTACCTACATCAGTAAAGAGCTCTTCTCCCTCTGAGGAGTTTCTGAATAACCCTGTCCTGTCTGTTCCTCTTATTACTTGAGTGACAGGGGGAGGAGACCCACTGAAAGAGGTTACAATTCTGTGCTACCCCCAAGTCCCAATCACCTTGCTGACAGCAGGTTGAAAGTGTTGATAGGCAGGAAGCCCTGCCATCACCTGTACCCTGAGCCCACACTGGCCTTGAAGTGGAGGCACAAGGACCTCATACTACACAGCTAAGGCTGAGGCTGAGAGAGAAAAGACCTTCCCCTCAGAGCACCAGGGAGAAACAGTAGCATTAACCCAGCAGCCCAAGCTCTTTACCCCATAATACTCAACAGAGCCATGTGTATATGGAGTCAGACAGGACACTGAGTCCATGATGAGATTTAGACCTGTGTCTTCAAATACATTAAATATGGCCTGGGAAAAAGGCAAGTGTCTCTACTCTACACCCCCAGGATCACCAGACTACAGACCTGCTAGGAGGGATCAGGCAGGTGGCACCTTGTGCCAGAGTGACAGCCTTTATCCACCACCCAGCTATGGGGCTAAGGATGCAGAAACTTGCTCAAGGCTACACTGAGAAAAAGAAAGTCAATTTTAATATATTTCATTTAACTTAATATATCCAATGTGTTACTGTTTCAATGTATAGTCAATATGAAAATTCAGCTTTTTTTCTTTGTAAAACATGGTTTCACTGTGTAACGGAGGCTGGCCTGGAACTATTTTCCAACCTCAGTACTGGGTTTACAGGCAGGATGCCACCGTTCCCAGCATTGAAAGTTACCATTGTAGCATTTGTCATCATTCTCACTATGAAAATCCACTGTGCGCCTTTCCTGACAAGACAGCTCACTTTGGATCTGCTGTGTCATGTGCTCGGTGGACAAGTGTCATTGATGGGCAACCCATTGGTACTACCACTCTTGATCCTTCTGGTGCTTGTCTAGAACAACTAAACATCTTTTGTGTTGTTATTTTGGTTTTGGGTTTGTTTTTGTATGTGAAATTAGTGGATAACAGACTTTTTTTTTTTTAAGTAGGGAGCTAGGGCTATAATTCAGTTGATAGAGTACTTGCTCAACATGCACAGATCCCTGGATTGGTTTAATCTCTAGCATCACATAAACCAAACATGATAGTGCATATCTATAATCTCATCTCTCAGGAGGGGAGACAGGTTCAAGGTCAACCTCAGTACTTAGGATTTGAGGCCAGCCTAGGATACATGGGACACACACACACACAGACACACACAGACACACACAGACACACACACCCCTGTACAAGGGCTGGCATAACCTGCAGAGCATTCACTTATAAACTGAACAAAGATACAAGCTATGAGGTCAAATTTAGGCTGTGTGTCAGGCACAAAAACCACACAGCCTGGTTCCTATGGAGAGGAAGAAGGCAGCAGAATGATAGGAAACACTCTCTGACTGGAAAGCAGCCTTCTATGCTGTCATGAGCTGGACGGTCAACATGTCATGTAACTAATCTGTTGATGGATTGGTTCTCCACTCATGTGCAAAGAGGTGTCTCAGGGGTACGCGTTCAGGGCCCTGCCCATACCCTGTACTTTCTTTTGTTCTACCAGGCTTCTGGGTCCCCACAAAAACAACACACAGAACACAAGGGCTCTGGAGCTAGAAGTCCAGGAACAAGCCCCATCTTTGTCACTTATCCTCCTGTGCCTCAGATTTCTCATTTTTGAAGTGTTTCTTCCTTGGGGGCTGAGGGCCAAACGAGAGCATCCATGTGGTTATCAGGGCATAGCAAATCTTCTGGAAAGTCAGTCCCAGGCCCACGAGCATATCCAAAGAACTGGGATTGGACACAACTAAGAATGGGACATTCTCAAAGGACAAATAGGAAGTTTGGCTGAAGCAAGGATCAACATCTAGATGCTGGATGACACAGAGTTCAGTGAAGGACCACTTGCCTTGACAGAGCCAGGCAGAAACACAAGTCAGAAACGGCCAGGTGTAGCACCCATCTCAAAAGGCCAGAAAGGATTCAAAAGTTTGCTTTTTTTTTTTTTTTTTTGAGACAGGACTTCTTTCTCTGTAACAGCCCTGACTGTTTTGGAACTTGATCCATAGACCAGGCTGGCCTTGAACCTGCTCTGCCTCCTGAGTGCAGGGATTAAAGGCATGCGCCACCATGGCCTGCTTTCATTTGCCTTTTAAATCTATAAACAAAAAACACAATATCAGCCCACTAGTAAATGGTAGCAGCCCAAAGCCATGCCCTTACTATGTGGAAAGTGCAGGCATCCCATCTATTCAGCATTAGCCATCTGCTGCCATCTAGAGTGAGGACCACCACTGCTGACTTGACAAACTCCTTTTAAAGAGGCCAGAGATCCCAACTGTCTATAAAGATCTGGTTTCAAAAGCTGGCAACCAGGGTTGGGGGATGGCTGAAGAAATGACCCAGCAGTTAAGAGCACTGGCTGCTCTTATAGAGGACCTGGTTTCAATTCCTAGCATGCTTATGGTAGCTCACAACTGCTTTAACTTCAGTTCCCTATAGATACCAGGCACACAAGTAGTATACAGACATACATGCAGGTACCACTCATACACATAAACAACTTTTTAAAATGCCAGCTTGAGGGAAGGCTGTCCCATCATCCATGCTGTAGGGCATGCATGCTTTTCAAGGTCCTCTGTCAGTTAGGTCTGGAGAGTCATCAGGCTATTTCTATACCCAACAAAAAAATGAGATTCTCCCAACCTCTTCCCTGCAAAACCTCAAGGCATCAAGGTGCACTGGAGAGTTCTAGGAAACCCATTTCTCATCTTCCTGCTCCTTCAAGATCTCTGATGATCCCCAGAAGGTCCATGATGCAAAAAAGAGAACAAGCCATGGTCCAGTACAAACCAAAGAGGGCAGGGACAGCAGAGAGGACAGTTTTCCTCAGTTTATTTCAAGAGAACAAAGACTCAGCCATCAAATTCTATACAAAAACATGGTGTTAGAGTGTGGTGACCCGCAGGCCAGCTAGCTCCCTTCCCTCGCCTAAGCCCAAAGCTTCCCCTAATTTGAAAAAAAAAAAAAAAAAAAAAAAAAAAAAAAAAAAACCCCCCCCCCCCCCCCCCCCAAAAAACAAACCAAAACCAAAAAAAAAAAAAAAAAAAAAAAAAAAAAAAAAAAAAAAAGGACAACTCCCCACCCCACCTCCCACAAAAAGCTAACAAATTCTGGAAAAAAATATGAAAAATTAGGAGACCCTCCTTAACTTTCTTCCTTCTTACCACCAATCCAGGAACTTATGGGGAGGATCGTGGTCATAGCCAAGGTGGGCAGGCAGGCATTGGCAGATGTAGTGTTTGGCAACCATGGGGCAGGGTAAGATCTTGTAGAAAGACAAGTGGCTTAGAGAAGGGAATAGACCTCTGCTGGCTCTGGTCCAGAGAACACTCAAAACACAGTTTATAAAAAATCAGGGCCAGGCAGAAGAGAAAAAAGTCATCAGAATCAAAAACTAAATAGTGGAAAGATTTGTTTTTTGTTTTTCTTCTCTAAAAGGCAAAAGGCTACAAACAGCTCAGGTTCTGAGCTGCCCAGGATAGGGATCTTCCACTGACCCCCAAACCCAGCTGAAGGGGTGGGAAGCCAGGAGAGGTGAGCTCTTTAAAAAGTCAACTCTGGGTGGGAAGGCTCTGGGTCTTCGGCAGCCTTCCTCTTCCTCCTGTCCTGCCTCGGAGAAGGCTGGTGAGGCCAGGGCTATGCCGGTAAGCTCAGCTTCTTCCCCTTCAGGACTGTGAAGAAAGAGACAAATGGGCCTTACCTCCCACCCTGAAGAGCGGCAACCTCCCACCCTGAGCAAGGTCTGTAGATGAGCTGTGCAAGGAGAGGGAACCCCCAGGACTCTGCATCCTGAACTACAAGTTTGAGTCTAGATCAACCAGGGGGTAGAGCAGGAATCGACCTTGTCACAGTGCTGAGCAGAGGCCAAGAGCCGTCTTTATTCTCAGTAGTGCTAACTATAGCCATGGATCACTACTTTCTTGTCTTGCTTGCCCCAGACTTTGTATTTTTGTGATGCCCAGGCTAGCCTCAAATTCAACACAATCCTGCCTTAGCCTCCACAGTGCTGGGATTACAGGCCTGGTCTTATTGCCTCTTTCCTTCACATACTGATTTCTGGTCTTCATGTTTCTGCTTAAACATCACCTCAAGATGCCCACAGACCCTGGGGTAAGGCAGGTCCCACCCTTCTAACTCATCACCCCAAGGACACATGTCTTCATCCATTCAGTGCACTTAGAATCACTAGATTCTTTATGTGTCATCTTCCTTAGTAGGGTCTAAGGGAGGAGAGGGCCTCAACTACCTTTTCCTCTATGGTTGAGCCCTGAACATAGCAGATACTCTTTGTACAATGAGAACTCATGAATTTCACCATCAAGAGTCCCTGCTATGTCTGATCTCCACTTGTAAAAAATATAGCCTGAGAGGCAAAACTCAAGCCTTGGGGAGGCAGGGTCTGGAATCCCAGAAGCCAGGAAAGGAAGCCCTGTCCCTCAAGTCGCTGAACATAGACCCTGGGCCCAAGGGATAGGGGACTGGGGAGAGACTGTCTTTCAGCCAGCCCTGCATCCTGCTTACCTTTGGTGATATAGAGGTAGAAGAAATCGCAGTAGAGGACTGTCTGGACCAGG